CACTTTGCCTTGTGCTTCTGGGCAACATTCTTTTAAGATTTTTTTTGAAATTAGATGTCTAGGCTCATTCAGATAGTCCAGTGATTCTTAAATTGTTCTCCTTGTTGTGTTTTCCAGGTCAGTTGTTTTTGCTGTGAGATACCTAATATTTTCTTTTGTTTTCAGTCTTTTTACTGGTTTCAGTATTTCCTCTTGCCTCACGGAGTCATTAGCTGGATCCATACTGGATCTGTTCTAATTTTCAGGGAATTAGTTCCTTGGGCAAGGTTTTGTACCTCTTGTGCCAAGTTATCTATGACCTTTCTGATTCTTTCTTCCATAGCTCTCATTTCTTTTCCAATTTTTTCCCTCAAGTGGTGCATTTCATTTATAAAAACATTTTAACTCTAGCTTCGTATCTTCTAGGTATTTTAATTGAATTTTTGCCCCAGTTTGTTTTTTGTTCTCCCCCCCAAGTATTTGCTTGTAGGTGTTCTGGTTTCATTCTCTTCTTCTGGGTTTGGGTTGAACTTCCTTGGTAACATAATACCTCATTACGGTGGGATTCTCTTTTTATTTGTTCATTCTCTCAGCCTGCTTCCTGACTTCAGATTTCATGTTAGGGCTGGACGCTGTGCACTTTTGGACATAAGGTTTGGGCTGACCCTGTTGCTGCATTCTTGGGAATATTGAGTATTGTGTTATTGCAAGGCGTCAGAGACAGCTCAGTCTGGGGACCTGTAAGCTTTCGTTGCTTCCAGAGTGGTCTGATCCAGGGCTAAGTATGATCGCTGCCCTCCTGGTCTGAGCTTTGCAATTTCCTGACCTGGCTTTGGGTCTGAACAAGAGTAGACTGCTGCTGGACTCAGCTCCTGTCGGCCAGCTGGCAAGCTCTGCTGGATCAGAGTGATAGAACTGCAAGCTCCACTTTGGTCTGGGAATCTTGCCTGGTCATTCCTATGCAGATTGAGCTAGACGCTGTAACTGAGACCCTGTTCGGCTCTTGGGGTCTGAGCCACACAGCTGCTGCTTGCTTCTGAACTTCTTTTCTTTGCCTTTCCCCTGCGACCCTTCACTTCTCAGTCTGCCCTGGATCTGTGACCCAGGACTGGGTGTAATGAGTGAAAAAATGGCCAGTTTGCACTTTTCTCTGTTGTGTGCCCCATGTGAGTGGGATGGTTCTTTGGTATGGGTGTGGAACCTCCATGCACAGTGTCTCCCTGGGCACTGGAGTGCTTGTAAGGGATGCTTCTTTCCTGGCCTTGTCACACGTGTCAACAGACCTCTCTATCTATCTATCCCACTATGCCAAACTGGTCTGGAGAAATGACTTTCTGTGACTTTTTCTGGATATCCCCATCAGGAATGGGTTTAGTACAGAGGTTCCCAAACTTGTTTGGCCTACGACCTCCTTTTAAAAAAAAATTTACTCAGCTCCCCTTGGAAATCTACTTTCTTATTAAACTTAACGGTTTAAAAAATTTGCATCATTTCAAAAAAATAAATATATATTTAAAATAATGCATCTTAAATTTAATAATTTATTGTAAATTTATGGCTTTTCTTCCCTGCATTTAAATTTTGATGATGCAGTATTATGGTCATGTCATGTAACCATATATCATATTGTAAAGAAGCTATTAACTTGAATTTTGTGTGTTTATTTTGAAAATAATGTAATCACCATGACTTTAATTCTGTTACACAATAGATGAAATGTATACGAATCATTTTTCAAAATTTTCTTGTCTTCTCTTTCCTTATGCTTCCACTGCCCCCTTGTTTTTATTCAATGCCCCCCAGTTGCACCTGAGGCTACTACTCTGGGTGCCACTGCCTCCACTCCCACAGTTTCAGTGCCCCCAGGGGGTGGTATTGCCCACTTTGGGAACCTCTGTTTGGAGGGAAGTTCGACTGAGCTGTTTCTTACTGCTCTACCATCTTTGCTCCCTTCTGTTTTTTATTGCATTAAAAGAAATTCCCGTTATCTTATATTTTGTGATATTTTTAGTGTAGATAAGTGTAGTGCTATGGCTTTTTCTCAATCTGTTGTGGTAATCCTGTTGGGTTTTTTGGTTATTTTTATTTTTAATGTGATTGTTACTTGTTTTCCTACTGTTACCTAATCTTTTCCTTGCATTCCTGGTATAAATCCAGTTTGTTCATAATGAATGGTTTCTTAGATATGTTACTGTATAGTCTTTTTGATAAATTTTAAATCAGTATAAGCAATATTGGTTTGTTTCTCCTTTGCTTTATCCTTCCTTGAGTTAGCTATTAGGACTCTTTCTCAGCAGTGCAGTCTGGTGGGATGCTTGCTTTTCTCAGCTTTTGAGAGTAATTTGTGCAGTATCAATACTAGTTCTATTCACGTTTGATAGAATTCTGCTGTGAATCCATCAGGACCAAGAAGTTTTTCTTCCCCCTTGGTAGTTTCTTTATTTTCTTTTTCCGAAATGAGGTTGCTCTGTTTCTTTCGTGTTCTCAGTTTTGTTAGCATATAACTTCGTGAAGGTTCAGATAATTCTTTTTTTTTTTTGGTTTTCTGGTGAAGTGAGTAGAACTCAAAGAATACTTTATACAATAACAATAACCTTTTAAAGAAAGACATTTTGGGCGTAGTTCCAAGTTTCTTTCCAGAATGTTTGAAACCGAGTCTTCCTTGTTTGTCTCTTCTCTTTAATCTACTTCAGTGGTTGTTATTTTTCATTTTTGTTATCTTTGCTAATCTAAAGGGGAGAACCTCAATTGTTTTCATTTTCATTCTTGTGGCGTAAGTAATTATGGAATGTTTCAGAGATACCTGGGAAAACTTGTATGAACTGACAAAGAGGAAAGTCAGCAGAACCAGTAGAACAGTTAATGTAATAAAGTTAGCATTGTTAAAAAAAATAGCTGTAAAAGACTTCAGAACTCTAATGCTGTAACCAGTAGGGGAATATATTTTGCTTGACATTGTATATTTGTTACCAGTTTTGTTTTGTTTTAATGAGGAGGGAGGTAGGTGAGGGGATGACCAAAAAAGAAAAGTGAGTCACTCCATTGGCTCCCTATTGCCTCCCAGGATCAAATACAAAATGCTCTGTTTGACATTCAAAGCCCTTCATAACCTACTTTCCCCCTACTTCCCTGTCCTTTCCAGTCATCTTATGCTTTACTTCCAGACAAGATCTCTTCAGTCTTGGCCTGGCTGTTCCCAGAACTGGACACTCAATCTCTTGGCTCCAGAGCCCCAGGCATTTTATCTGAACCTCCCTGGCTTCTTTTTAAGTCCCAACTAACATCTGATCTTTTACTGGAAATCCTCCCCAACCCCCTTTAATTCTAGTTCCTTCTCTCTGTTAATTATTTCCTATTTATTCTACATATGGCTTACTTTGTATGTATTTGTTTACATCTTGTCTCCTTCATTAGGTTGTAAGCTCCTTGAGGGCAGGGATTGTCTTGGCCTTTTTTTGGATTTAGAACACTGCCTGGCTAATAGCAGGCACTTAATAAGTGTTTATTGCTTAGAATAAAATATAGACAGGCAATACAGCTTTGAAAAGTATGTGTTGAATTTCTTATATATTTAAAGGAAGGAAGCCGTAGTAGATTCATGGTTTCATCTACAATTCTCTTTTTCAGTGTTACTGTGTATATGGAAATGCTTATTTAACTTTATAATAAAAAATAAAAGTAAGCAGTGAGGTAGACCTTATTTTCTAGGAGTTTGGCTGAGAAAGGAAGGAGAGATATAGGACAATAGCTTTAAGGGGTCAAGTAAAGAGTTTTCAAAGATACAGGATGGGGAGAGATTGAGGATTGAGAGATGGGGATAATTAGGGTTGGGGAAATCTGTTGGAGAAGGAAGTGGGTTGGATCATATAAAGGGGCTGGTGTGGGAAGGATGGCTGCTTTTTCAACAGAAACTAGAGTAAATGAGATTTTAGGGAGTGATGTGAAGAAAGGGAGAAGATGGAGCTGCTAGCATTAATATACGTGGTGATGTCTTCTATTGAGAGCATGGGGAAAGAGGATCATTTGGGAGGTTTCAGGAAAATCTGAAGGTTTAGTACAGGGTAGCAAGTTTAGGAAGAGAGAATCAATTTGAGAGGAGTAAAAGGAATGTCTTACTGCAGCAAGAGCCCATTTCATGTAAGTTTTTATAAGTCTTCTAATCAGGAAATAGTAAATAGCTATCTCTTCTCTCTCTCTCTCTCTCTCTCTCTCTCTCTCTCTCTCTCTCTCTCTCTCTCTCTCTCTCTCTCTCTCCCTTCCTCTCCCCGAAACTATCCAGAATTTTGTCCAACCAATATTTCATATAATTGAATTATTTCTTTTTTAATCTTACTATGGCAGTAGACATACTCAAGTCTGTTATGTTATCATTTAGGGAGTTTCTTCCAACAAACAAGTTTGCAACCACTTGGGACCTGTCTATCTTGAGGGATTCTGGCTTTTAGTTTCCTGAAAGTTTTTCACAGGCAGTCTGTCCAAGGTGCTGGAGCCCTGGCCAGGTACCAGAGGAGCACTCTTGGCTGTTCACCTCTTATCTCTTGCTCTTCCTGTGATCAGAACATCTTATGCTCCTGACATGTGAATTCTCAGTGACAGCCTTTACTCATTTTTTTCCAAGTTCCTTATAGATTATGCGTTGCAGCCTGTTTACAACCATTTCACCTCTCTCCATTGCCCTCTCACTGATGTATAACAATGCTGGGGAAATGTTAGCCTTGAGAAGGTGAAACTTTGCTTTCATAGAAAGTTTGTTGCTGTTTCCCAAAAGCCATCCAGCCCATTCTCCTCTGTTTGTGCAGCTGTATTGTCTAAGTTAATACATACTATTGGACAAGCTTTATAAGACACCGTGCATTCTAAATGCATATTGAAATCTGACCAATAGAAATTTTTCATCCACTTAGTTTTTCCTATGTGGATGGTCAGCCAAAACTCTTTTGAGTGATTAGAGATCTTCAGGAAGCTCTGCAGTGTCCTTGGCCTTGATGCGATCCGCAAAATTTGATCCCTTCCACAAATAGGAGTATGGGAAGACCTCACCATACACAGGAAGTCTCTGCTGACTTGAAGTCTGTGCTTGATTACCTCCGTCACAGTGATGAATGCCTTTGGTAAGCATATTTCTCTCCATTTTATTCCTCTCCTGATGTTTATTGTTTATTAAACAGGTCATTTAACAAGGTTATTTCTATTGTTACATCTTCTAAGGAATCCTGAATAATTTTGGTGAATGGATGGGAGAAACCTTGATGTAAAAGAGTCTGAAAGCAATGTTTTAATTCTACAGAATCAATTATTTGTTAATTAATAGACAATGGATGCAACAGGATCTAATATTGTCTATATCTTTTATTTACACATAAGGTAGTAAAGATGGGGTTCATGATTGATATCACTTTGAAACCTTTTGTGCTCCCTAATAATGCTCACATTGAGGATACCCTCAAATCTTGTATTGTTGTTGTTCAGTCGTTTCAGTCACATCTGACTCTTCATGACTCCATTTGGGGTTTGCTTGGTAAAGATATTGGAGTGGTTTTGCCATTTCCCTCTGCAGCTCATTTTACAGATGAGAAGACTGAGGCATATGGGGTTAAGTGACTTGCCCAGGGTCACACAACTAGTAAGTGTCTGAGGCCAAATTTGAACTTGATAAGATGAATCTTCTTGACACCAGGCCTGGCAACTCTATCCACATCCACCTAGCTGCCCCCAAATCTTGCGTAGATGCCTCTAAAGACTTTGTATGGTAGGGAGAGTTGGGCATAGTATGTTGATAGCTATTAACATTTGATTGGTCACCTCTTCCTGTATTTTTGCCATACCATTGGTAGATTCTCCTGATACTATCTATGTTGCTCCTTCATTGGCCTTTGTTGTTTCTTCAGTGCCATTTCTGTGTCCTTTGGTAGCAACTCGTGGACTGTGAAGTTAAGTGCAAGTGTTCTACTCTTTCCTTGAAATGGTTTGTGCAACTGTTCCATTCTTCTTCTGTTTGTAGTGCTTCTAATTTTTGTCTTTGAATGCCCTTTGAGGGGGATGACTTTGACTTAGTTTGTTATCTTGTCATGTTGTCTCTAAGCCAGTTTACTTCCCAGTGTTTATTTCTTCTTTATGAGTTGATACTGCTCATAAATGTCCATCATTCTTTTTTATATGCTTTTCCTAACAAGTTTGTTTTCTAATATGGTGATGCTTTTGGAAGTCATTTTTCTCCATTTGACTAGAAGTTAAAATACTTGCTAACTTAGGTGCTTTCTAAGCTCTTTTGCTCTCCTTGTGGCAATTCATTTATATTGTTTTAACTTCCTGATGAAATTATTATAATCAATATCATTTATCTTGCCTTTTTGCCGTTTTTATTTTCAACAATTTGATTCAATAATTCTGTGTTCATTTTTTTATTGTACATTATCTTATTTTGTTACTCTTTTTGTTTTTTTTTAAAACTAATTCTGTTCTTATCTCAGATAAGAGTGTGCTGATAGTTGATTCAGAAGTAACTGTCATCAATAATGTCTTTTCCTGTCTGTTTAAATGCCTATTTCACTCATCAGTGGAAATGACATTAAAGAAGACATTTACTGTAAGGAACTTGCAACCTTTCCATCTGACTTATAGCTGAAACCTTCTGTGTGTATTGTCTACTTTAGAACAGTCATACACTTTGGGGCAGAAATTGGGAAATAACATAATAACTAAAAATATAATAAAACCTAGATAACGTTACATTTTAAAACTAAGTCAGTATTATGACCTGCCAGGTTTTTATGCTTGATGATGGGCCTATTTTCTAATTGTATCCCCAGCACTTGACACTATGTATCGGTGCATGTGGCATAAAGTAAAAATGCTTTAAAAAAAACCACAACATTCTTTGTGTTGGGGCTTTCTGCTTAGCATGCTGCCTATCAATTCATTTTTTGAAGAAAGTATTCATGATAATGAGGTGTGAGCCTTCCATGTAATCTTTGACTATTTCTTTTTCCTGAACTTACTTTTCTACATATTTTTCCCATACCCATCTTTGTATTGAAGTAAACAAGTATCAGAGTTTATACTGTCAACTGGACCAAACTGGCCTCTAGTATGTGGATGGCTGGAGCCAAACAGAGCAGGCTAGAGACAGGTGAGTCAGGAATCAAAGAGAAGTTTAATGTTGAAGTGAGGGAAACAGCTTGCAAGCAAGGAGATAAATTGGACATATGTGCTGGGCCCAACTCAGGTGAGGGCATGCTACTGTAACAGTGTCCAGCTATGGACTTTAACTGCGTGCTTTGTTCTGTTTGTATCTATCTTGTCATTTTGTCTGTGTTTCTCAGAAGTGGTATTGGACACGGAACCAGGCCATTGGACTCTCCGAAACCAGTAGGAACAGACTAGGTGCCGGGTCATTGGACTCTGTGGTACAAGGGGGAACAATTAGGTGCCACTGGAGATTTATTTCTTCAGTCTGACCCCTCCTGTTCTGGTGAGTCCAGTGCCCTTGTCCCTGCTCCAGTACCTGAGCTCTGCCTTGGTCGAGCTCTTCAAAAAACTCCAGGGCCCTCGGGTGACCCGATTTACCTCAGATCACTCTGGTAAGGATATCCTTTCTTAAACTACACACCTCTGTTAATTGGTCCCTCTGCATGCCTCTGTGTTTTCAAACTGCACTCCTCTGTAAAATTGTAACTGCATGCCTCTAGTGTTTCTTAAACTGCATGGGTCTGTGGCTGAGTGCCTGTGTTAGAAACCTGTCTGTTTTCTGGTTAGGACTGTAACTGCACACTTTGTTAAAATTATCTGTGTCTGCTTGTATAATCCCAGAGTGAAGAAAAAAAAAATAGGTGAGAGGTTTGCATCTTATAGCCACCTCTAGTTAACCCTTCCTTGGTCAGAGACCCTCTCCCTCTTATTCTATTAACCCCTCTCAAATAAAGGTGTTGGCAAAAAGTATAGGAAAAATGTAGGTAAACTTGAATTATATCTGGTTACAGAAATTTATTAGGTCTGCAATCTTAGCAAATTATCTTATCTCTGTTTGCCCCAGTGTCCTGATCTAGTAAAGAGAAAAATAATAATGGTACCCACTTCTCAGGGTTGTTGTTGAGGATCAAAATAATATGATGATTGTAAGGAGCTTAACGCAGTGATTGGAATATGCTAGGCACTATATTATTATTATTTGTTTAATTGAATGTAATTGTTCTGTACCTGATAACTCTAAAGTGTTTTTAAAATGTCAGAGGTAATAAGATTAATGATTTTTGTATGGGATAATTTGGAAATGCAATTGGTGTCATCTGAAGCTTTATGTAATTGTATTTCTAAATTCTCTTATATTGTGAAATTTGAGAGACTGTTGAAACAGAAATGCTAGTAGACAAAACAGCTTTTTAATCTGGATCATCACCAACAACGACTATTGAGCAACTGCTACCAACAGGGAGATGCAGGAGCCTGGGAAGTGCCAATATCCCCCAGACCCCTGTTCCTGCTCAGCCCTCATAGCCATCAGCGGAGCAAGCAGCTCCTGTGGAGCAGGGCTAGCCATCCCACCAACTGCAATACCCAGGACAGGCAGCCTAGCCTCAATGAAGCTGCAAGGTGTTCTGAGGAAGAGGCAGTAGGCAGCATGTGCCAGTCAAGTCAAACCACCCTTCCCACTGTCACCAGACCTTGAGAGAGACATTCCAAGAGCCTTCGGAGCAGCTCATCATTCTGGGAAGCAACCTCTGTGGAGATGTATTCTGGCAAGTGCTCCTGCAAGTCCTACAGTCACACCTTTTGAAGACCCCAAAAAGTCCTTGCCACCCAAGCTCTTGGGACTGTCAGATACTTCAGTTTATTATCAGTGGAAATTACATTAAAGCATAGGCATTATCGTCTTGTGCTTTGGTGCTGCACCCTAAGGACATTGGGACCTTTATATCTGGCTTTCAGCTGAAACCTTTGATGTGTTATCTGTCAATTAGAATGTGAGCTCTCTGCGAACAGCAAATGTCTTCCTGTTTGTATCCCTACAGCTTATCACAGTGCTTTACATGTAGTGAACACTAAATAAATTAATTCATCTTTTCTCAGGAACTTATGTTGGTACATTAACTGTTATTATTTTTATGGTGGTCTTTTTTGCCCCTTAGATACTTATCATTTGTGCTGCCTGATGTGATGACCAGATGTCCCATGAAATAATGTTTCTTGTAACTTCCAGGCATATGATGAAACCAACTTCATCAGCTCTTTCTTTGCCTCTCCAAAAAGTACCTGTGAGCCATCATTGCATTTAGTTACAGCTTTCTTCTGTCTTCTGGTCAGTCACTAGCATTTAAAAAGTGCCTGTGAGGTACCAGGCATTGTGTTAAGGTTTGGTTTCTTTTATAGCCAGATCAACCTTGATAGGTTTAAGCTACTCACCAGTATGTCCACTAGTTGGTTATGGGATAGCATTACATTTAAGATGCCGGTAGTCATGATGACATTTCTTTTCTTTTTTTTTTTGGCTTTTTTTTAGGCAATTGGGGTTAAGTGACTTGCCCAGGGTCACACAGCTAGTTAAGTGTCAAGTGTTTGGTCTGAGGCCGGATTTGAACTCAAGTCCTCCTGACTTCAAGGCCAGTGCTCTATCCTCTGCGCCACCTAGCTGCCCCTCATGGTGACATTTCTTGATGGTCCAAAAAAAATTGTGAACCTTAATACCCCCTTGCCCATGTTCTACTATTAGGTTACTATCACTGCATACATTTGGCATAGTGTCATTTTAAATGTTTCTTTGTTACATGGGTTACCATCTGCATGCCCCCACCCACATGTCTCACCTGGTAGCCTGCCTACTAATGATGTACATCTCCATAATAAGCTAGGTTGGGCCTCAGCAAACCAACTCAATTTGTTAATGGGACCACTCTCAAAGACTTCATAACGTGGTACAAGCTGCCAGTGCTTTTGCTCCATCCCTTTTAGGGGGTCACCTCTACAGTAAAATGAGGAAAAAGAGATGGATATGAACCATTACCAATTAACAAAGAGATTTTCATTTTTTACTGTTGCTCATATGTTTTGTTCATCTAGAAATTTCAGAATGTATCTTTTTCCTTTTTTATATTACTACTGGTTAAGGTGCCACTGACGAATTTGAAGCAATTTTAACTTGTTTCTTTTGAAATAAGTCTAGTATCATTATGGTATTATATACTCCTTAGATTAAATTCAGGGGGGAAAAACACAACCCAATACAGGTTTGTAATTGTAAACTGTAAAAACAGCAGCTGTTTAATATAGTCCTTCATTTTCTTAGCTAGAACGTTGGAGTTTCTTGTGTAGTAGAGTGACATGATCAGAACTATGTTTTAGGAAGATGTCTCAGGCAACAGTGTTAGGATGGATTGTAGAAGGGAGAGATGTGATGCAAGGTTGGTGATGCTTTTGGAAATCATCTCTTGTTTGAGGCAAGGAAAAGAAGAAGTAGTAGTAGTCCAGTAGTTATAGTAGTAGTAGTAGTAGTAGTAGTAGTAGTAGTAGTAGTAGTAGTAGTAGTCGTCATGATGATGACCTGAATGGGGGTGGTCATTGTGTGGTTGGAAAAGAGGCATTGAAGTAGAAATGACAAGGTTTGGTAACTGCTGTGCTCCATGGAGTGAGGCAAAATGAGGAATCCAGAATAATATCAGGGTTGCAAACCCTGGTAACTAGAAGGATGGGGGTGAACTTGACAGTATGAAAGACAGTTTTCTTAGGTGACTTTTTCCACCTACATTGCTCCCAGATAATGTACATAACATCACGTTTTAACTGCATTGGTCCTGGCATCAATGCAATTTTTGTTTTGCTTTTGTGTTTTTATTTTTAAGAAAAAATTCCACATAGATTTAGAAATATAGACTTCTTTCAGGCTGTGTGATCTTGGCAAAGTCACTTAATCTCCCTGGGATTAAGTTTCCTCAATTTGTTAAAATGAATTGAGCTCGGTGATTCTTTGACGTCCATTAGTGTTGTAAAACTTGACAATAGAAGAATTTGGTCTCAAAGTTTTCATTTCTTTCTGTCTTCTTCAAGCATTTATGCCATACTCCTAATTTAGTAGATTAACCCTATAGAGAAGAGCCATTTTTACTTTATTTCATTCCCATCTACTCCTCAGAAGATAATTCAGTTTTGAGTCAACTCTAAAGTGAGTAGATTTTAAGCATACTCAGAAGTGAACCTAGAAGTTTCTTTCTGATATATTGTTACTTCAGACAGTGTTTTTATCCAGTGGTTCTTCTACTTGGTTTGGTCAAGCTTTAAAAGGACAGCGTTAGATTTTGTGTCTGTATCTCTACCCTGCTTTTAAACACGTAGGCACTGATGTAATTTCCCTTCTGTGTTCCCTTGTGGCACCTGAGCAGCCTGTATAATGAAGATAGAAACTTACTTCGAATTAGAGAGAAGGAGAGACGCAACCAGGAGGTTCACCAAGAGAAAAAGTCCTTCCCTGTGAATGCACCTCTCTTTGGAGAGCCCTACAAGGTACTTAATGTGTACAAGGGTATAAATGCTTGTCAAGCTATGTGCTGAAAAGAATTTAGTGCAATTCCGTTTGTACAGTGGTCATAATTGTTGAATTGGAAAAAAAAATCTAAATTGTAATGGCATGTGGATTAAGTTTAAAGAATTAAGAAAAACATGCATACCATATGACTAAAATTCCAGAAGTCATGGAACTGGGAATGGTCATTCCCTGAGCTTTGGCCTGGAAGGTAGTGTAATTTCCCTTTTTTTTTTTATTATTTCCCTTTCATTTTTACTTCCCCACACAGAGAGCCATACCTTGTAAGAAACAACAAATAAGAAAGATAAAGGGCTAAAAAGATAATTCAGCAAAATTACCCAACAGATCAACCAAGTCTTATAGTATGTGCCATGTGTAGGGTCTCCCTCCTCTGCAAAGAAGTACTTGTCTCTTCAGGGCCAAGCTTGGTCATTATCATTACACAATATACAGGGTTTTTTGGTTGATCTCTTTCTATTGTGTTTATTGTTTGCTTTGTTCTGCTTACGTCTGAAATTTCTCCATGCATCTCCAAATTCCTTAAATATTGTTTCTAACAGCAATACATTTCCATTACGTTGATGTACCTACCATAGTTACTTTAGCCATCTCCCAATCAAGATAGAGCTCTTTTTTATTCCATTTCTTTGCTATCACAAAAAAGTGCTGTTATTCAGTGAGATTTCTGGGTCAAGGAGTTTTTAATTGTGACACTTTTCTATTTAATTTTTTTTTCAGACTAGCAAAGGAGATGAGTTGTCCAGTAGGATTCAGAATACATTGGGTAATTATGAAGAAGTCAAGGAGCTGATCAGTACCAAAAACCAGAATCTCTTTGGTATACCTGAAGAAAGTAGCATCCCTTTAACCCCGCAAGGAAAATCTAGATATTTATTCTGTCCTGAGAAGACTAATAGTGTCCCACAGTTACCATTTTTCAATAGTGTCCATCACCAAGTTATTAATACTACTGCCTCTGGGCCTTCTATTTACATCCCTTCCCACTGTCCAAAAGCAGCTCAGTCAAGAATGGAACCAGCCTTGAGCTTACACGTCAAAAGTGATGGTATGTCCGGCATTCAGCACCAAGGGAAGTACTACAGTGGTCAGGAACGCCATCATAGGAGTCAGAACAAGAAAGATGAGTGCCAGCCTGAAGGAACCCCTTGTACGGAGCTTTCAGACTCAGCGCTAGAGATGGGAGGTTCTCTCTTGTCATCTGCATTGTCTTCCTCAGTTGCACCATTGGCATCTCGACATTCCAACCAGCCAGCTGGGTCCAGGATGCTGGGAAGCAGCAAGGGTAGTAGTAAGGGCTGTGCCCAGGCTAACTCTCCCGTGCACCTAGCGCTAGAGTCCAAAGAGGAAGAGACACTGCCCTACGGTTTGGCTCAAGTCACTGGCTTAGGCATACCAACTTCCCAGCCTCCCCCTCAAACCTTTCCCCCTCCCTCCCTGCCCTCAAAAACCACAGCCATGCAGCAGAAGCCTACGGCGTATGTTCGGCCCATGGATGGTCAGGATCAGGCAGCAAGTGAGTCACCTGAGCTGAAACCATTGCCTGAGGAGGACCATGGACATTCCTATGAGAAAATGCCAGGTTTTAAAGTGACTGCCAAAGCCAAACTCTCTAAGCTGAAAATGCCTCCGGAGTCTACGGAGGTAAGTGGAATTCACTGGGTCCTGGGGACTGTTCAAAGCGTGGGGTATGCATTTAGGGTTGTACCTGGCGTGTTGTCATGGTGTTGTTGTCAGAGTAGGGAAACACTGATAATAGAAAAGAATTTTATAGAATGGTTTTGTGCTTACGAGCCTGATTTGAGGGATGGAGGAGAGTGGTATATATGAGGTCTGGGACATAAAAGAGGAAGAACATCAGGGCAAAAAGCCTTTAGAGAGTTTATCAATATTTGGTTTTTGAAATTTGGAATAAATGCAAACCTAAAAAAACAAAGCAAAAACAGGCTAGTTCTTTAATTTTCCAGATGAGGAAACTGAAGCCCAGAGAGGTTAAAAGGTTAAGTTCAGCTTCACACAGCTATTATTAAGTGACAGGGCAGTATTTTGATTCCAACACACTATCTCTCCATTGTCTTCTGTTGACTCTTCTCAGTTACCATTTCTATTATGTCTTATCTAGCAGAAAAGATCTGTCTGTTGGGAGTTGGTCTCATTTGAAAATTAGTCATAAATACAAGGCACAGTCTGATTCAGTTTGTGGGTCAAAAGGTAACCTGTAGAACTAAAGAAAATTGTTTTGTCCCTTTTAAGAATGTCATGAAAAAATTATTTTTGAGGGAAGAGAATAAGCTATTTTATTCTACTTGCTTTAATGTTTCTTTTCTTCTAATTCCAACCTCTTGTTACACTTTCCAGAGTTGGAAGGTAGTATTTTTTTTTTGCTTATTTTGGAAATCTCTCACCAGTTTTACTCTCCCTCTTAAATGGTACCGCTCTTTGCTTATATTTCTCCATCAAGTATAATGTATTTTTACAGTATGCTCCAGTAACTTGTGTATGTGTGTTTTTATGTGTGTCCTTTGTATGATTCACATGGCATTGAGATTTATGTGATGCCCCTTCCACCCACTCTTTCCTCTTTGTGTCATGTTCATCTTTTGTGAGGAAGTGAGTTCCTTCTGTTTCCTCTTCCTTTCTTGCATACTATATTTTATTTTTCCCTTTTTCTTTTCTTAAAACCATCAAAACAAAACAAAACCAAAAAATGGTCTCCAACCCTCCCCTGTCTTGTTTAGCTGCATCTGTGACCTTTGCAGAAATTAGGACACTGAAGATATGCTCTGTTCTCATCCCTCCATTTGAATGTTAGCACTTGCTCATTTGTGGTCTCTTTTATAAGCCAGATGTACATATTTTTCTAGTGTTCTTTGGACCTCCTATATTTGCAGCAGATCAGTCAGTAAGGATTTATTAAAGCCTTTGGTGTGGTAGTCACTAAGCTGAATCCTGGAGTATCCAAAGAAAGGTAAAGTCTCTTTTCCCAAGGAGCCCCTGGTCTAATGGGGGAGAGAACATGCAAACAACTATATACAAGCAAGCTACATACAGGATAAATTGGAAATGAAATCAATTGAGAGAATGCATTGGATTGGGAAGGGCTTCTTGTAGAAGATTAGGCTTTTAGCTGGGGCTTGAAGGAAGCCAGGAAAGCCAAAAGATAGACATAAGGAGAGAGAGCATTCCAGACATGAAAGACAGCCAGAGGAAATCACCTGGAGTCAGGAGATGAAATGCCTTGTTTGAAGAAACGGAAAGAGGCCAGTTTTACTGGATCAAAGAGTCGGTGGGAGGTGGGAGTAGTTAGATGTATCTCTCAGCTTCTCAGCTGTTTCCTCCCCTACTCTTAGATGATGCTGGTGAGGGCCTGAAAAAATGGCTAAGACTCAGTTCTGCAGTCTTCATGAATTCCTAGGGGTTAGCTCTACCTGGCAGCTTGATTTAAGATTTTAACCTTGACTCCTTCTCCTTGGGAGCCCTGAATATAGAATTAGATCTGTCCTGTGCTGCGATATCAATGGGCTTCTTTGGGGAATAAATCCAGTTATGGAGTCTCTATGGAAATTTTAGTCACTTTATTTGCAGAATTCTAAATTCATGGACTAAGTCAAAGATGTACCTGATGATGGAAAACGTTGCATGAAGTTTAGCAGATACAATAATTTATGCCATTAAATAATTATGGGTTTGGAAAATACACTGTAAACCCAGGGGTGGGAAACCTGAGCCTAACAACCCCCAACCAGATGTTATTGATTACACTGGTATCAGGCTTCGTGCAAGATCCCAGGTGCTGGAGAAACAGGGGGGAAAAAGAGTATCTGGGTAACTTTATGGAGAGATTGGCCTTTACTGTGCTAGGTTCTGGATAAGAGCATGTGATTTGGCCGAGGTGTTACCAAATATTTAGTCCACAGTCTTCCCTAAAGAAGTCATTCCTACACACACACACACCCCTCACCCCCCCACCCCTTTTAACTAATTATTCATCTCTTACGGTAAAAAGGTCTGTGTGTGCGTGTGTATTTGTAAAAGGCAAAGTGATGTCATTTAATATTTTGACTGACATGAAGAAATTAAAGTAGTGGGAAAAACAAGGAAGGTTCTTCCCCCCTTCCCCAACCCTGGGTCCCTTCCTGAAGAATTAAATTGTCACACTGTAGGGATGAGTTGTTATTTGAGAAGAGAGTAGGAGTGATAGGGATAAAAGCTGACTTATGGTGGAATTTCTAAAAAGAAGTTGGAAGGAGCATTTGTTTTCCTTTTATATGCTTGTTATAAATCAAGTTGGAGAGAAAAAAGTCTTTCCTGTATTTCTGAATGTGTATATAGTTGGGTTTTGTAATCTTCCCCCACACCCTCTTAATTCTTTTCTTCCACTATGAAAGAGCAACTTATTTTTTAAAATCTTGAACATACCCTTGTTTTCCTGGGATTAAAGTTTCTTGGAGTCTTGGAGTCTGAAGATAGGTACAGGGGTGGGGGACCTGCGGCCTCAAAGCCACATGTGGCCCTCTGGATCCTCATGTGCCGCCCTTTGACTGAATCCATGTGTGTAAAGTTTGGAATCAGTTGAAGGACTGCACTTGAGGACCTAGAGGGCCACATGTGGCTTTGAGGCCGCAGGTCCCCCACCCCTGGGTTTAGAGTGTGTTCTCTAAAACCATAATTATTTAATGGCATAAATTATTTTACCTGCTTAAACTTCATGTAATGGTTTTCTGTCATTAAGCACATTTTTTGCTTAGTCCATGAATTTAGAATTCTGCAAATAAAAGTGACTAAAATTTCCATAGAGACTCCATAACTAGATTTATTCCCTCCAAAAGCCCACAGATATGAAAAAAGGTCCCATATACTCTGAAATATTGTAGCAGCACTTTTTGTAATAGTTTTGTAAGAACTGGGAAAAAAGTAGATGCCCATCAAGTAGGGAATAACAAAAAAAACTATAATGGAATATTACTGAGCTGTAAGAAATGTATGTGATGATATAGAGAAGCGTGGAAAGATCTCTATGAACTGATCGGAGAGAGTTGAAGTGAGCAGAGCCAAGAAAACAATGTATACAGTAACTACAACAATGTAAATGGAAAGAATAACAAGGCACTAACAAATTGAAAGTAAATGTAACAAAATTCTAAAGGTCAAATAGAAGTCACTCCCAACTTACCCCTTTGTGGAGGTGGAAGGTCCACAGGTGTTACACATTGCACATGTTTTCACACTTTCTCAATGTATTGATCCATTGTGCTGACTTTTTTTTTCTCTTAAAGATACTATTTGTCAAATGGGATGGCTCTTAGGGAGGTGGAAAGGAGGGGTGAAGATACCATAGGATACATAGTGATGTAAGAAACAGGAAAAACAATTAAAATTTTTCAAAATAAAAAGGCAAGATTGTCTAAAGGTAAGTTGGTCAAGCTGGAAGATGTCATTTTTTTAATACTTTGAAGGACCAAGTGTGTCAGTTGACATAAAAATATGATTTTTACTTTGAAATAAAAATTTTCACCCCACTATTACTATTTTCTTTCCATTGTTGATAAAAAAAATGCATTAATTCAAATGATGCAGTTTGGTTCTTTGTGGTTTTCTTAAATTCCCTTCCTTCCAGTATTAGCAAGTGATTCCCAGCTCTTAAAGGATTGAAGTCCCAGCAAAAAGAAAAAACTTTCCTTCTGGGAGAGGTCAGGATAACTATCTGATTCGAATTTTTCCATCAGGTTTCAATTGAAATATGTAGTCATGAAATAAAAAACGAAAGACAAACATCAACTTAAGGGTTACTTAAAGGTCACTCAGATGAAGCTGGGTTTTAGCTTCATTTAACTGTACATTATCTTCCAGAAGAGAGTATACATGCAATTTGTGGGGGAAAGGGTAAGAAGGAAGGTAACTCTGTACCCTGTGCTCAGCAAAAAGCATAGTACAGTTTAAAAACTTGAGCAGCTAAGCCGGTTTCCACAACCATGACTACTTAATACTACAACAAAAACTGTTTATTTGAGGGCAGGGATATTTGCTTTTCTCATTGTAGACCAAGAAGTGTCAGATATAGAACTTTAAAAAAAAAATCTTGTGTGGTTGTTCAGTTGTATCTGACTCTTTTGTGACCCCATTTAAGGTTTTCTTGGCAAAGATACTGGATTGGGTTGCCATTTCCTTCTCCAGCTTATTTTATAGTTGAGGAACTGAGACAAACAAGGTTATGTGACTTGCCCAGGGTCACACAGCTAGTATCTGGAGGCCAGACTGGAACTCAGCAAGATAAGTTTTCCTTGCTCCAGGCCTGGTGCTCTATCCAGTGGGCCACCTAGCTGCCCATTTAAAATCATGTGCAATGTATAAAATCAGTGTAGGTCCTGAGGATGCAAAGAACAAAGGACAGACTGGTTTTTAAGCTTAAAATCTAATTAGGTAGAGTCAGGAAGTCCTGAGTTCAAATCTGGCCTCAGACACTTGACGGTAGCTGTGTGACCCTGGGCAAGTCGCTTAACCCCATTGCCTAGGTCCCCTCTTCCCAAAAATCTAATTAGGGATAGTTCATATACAAAATACCAAGAAGAGATTAAGACAAATGTCAAGGAATCAGGGGATATCTTGGAGAAAACTGTTAGCTGACTTGTATTTTAATGCTTAGA